CACACACACACACACACACACACACACACACACACACACACACACACACAATACACTCTTCCTGTGTGTTTTTGCACGTGGTGGTGGGACTTTCTCGCCTTTTGCTAATTCGACCTGCAAAATGTATTGTTAACAAAGAAATGTGGGTTTTGTGTTTTCAAAATACAAACAATTCATATCCATCAAATGATATGTTAAATCCTACAGATGAATTCAACATAAAAAGTCAAAAAATCTAAAACAAAGTCCTAGATAAGGCTTGAATTGGTATAAAATGCCTTAAATCATCTTTAAAAACACCCAAAAATGTTTAAGACATGTAGAAGCATTGTCGAATCCCAACAGCATAGCACAAAGGGTTTGGACAGTTGGTTTTAAATGTCACTCTGAGTCGCCCTAAACACCCTAAAATCTAATTTACCTTAACGTTTGATGAATGTCAATAATCCCAGTATGAGACTAAAACTAAAAATATGTTTACCTCAAAAAACATATCAACTCAAAAAACATATCAACTATTTTGTGACTTCCTGTCCAATCTTTCTGGTTCCTAATGAAGATGTACATTTTGAAATCAGATCACATGTAGTTTCACTCAAATAGTTTTTAAGGTTACACAAGAGGGACTACTTTCAGCGGCGGATTAGTCCAACTTTTTTTGAAACATGTTGTATATTAGATTATCAATTCATACCCGATAGTAGTGTTTCTGTTGTGTCTTGGGATCTTTTTTATATGAAAACAAGAGGATGTTATATCATCATGTCTTAACAGCTTAGTTTTGTCGTTGATTTGTGTTTTTCTCAAGAAAAAGAAAGAAAACAAAGACCAGATTAACATGAGATAAACAAACAGAACAGAACGTTATCTTTCCTTTCTGCTGACCCATTAATCATCCTCTCAGATTTATCCTGTGACAGACTGTCCACACTCGAGTGCAGAATTACTCAGTGTTTCTTCTTGAAAAGGGCGAATAAATGCTGTTGCAATTATCACTATGCACCAGAATACATTTTATAAAATAAACAGATGGAATCATTCACTCGCACAAATAAGTGAAGACCTATCATGCAAAATGCACTTTTTGATGTCTTTTATACATAAATATGTGTCCCCGGTGTGTCGGGGAACTCACGCAGCGTCAGAAAATAAAACCCTCACTCTTTTCCTCCGTACCAAAATCTTTTAAAAACGGGGTACAACGAGCGGATACAGATTTGCTGCCGATATGACGTAATTTCGGATGGTGGACCCACAGAGAGTTGCTATCAGAAACAATGCCTGACGTGTTTTGGACGTAATCTCGTCTTTGTTTGCATTAGCAAGCCTCGCTAACACTCAGAGCTAACCTGTACTGGAGAGCACATGTGTTTGAAAGAGGAAATAAAAAAAGGAACTCACCTTGTGATAAACCCGCAAGAGAAAAAGCATTTGAGCTCCATACTGTTTCAGAAATAATCCTTGATGTGGTTTAGAACAGGATGGTGTTTTATCACAGCAGAATTTAACTTTATCTCCGGTAGAATTCTGATCAGGCATTAGCTCCGCCTTTTATTTTTTTTAAACTAAGGACCCTAAATCCGCGTTTCTCTAAACAGGGCTGGAATAGAGGGATATGAGGGATTTCTAAAACGCATGATTTGTTTGTATTTTGATCAAAACACATCATAGACATGTTTCCTTCTCATAGTAGTGTGCTAAATGAACAAAATAAATGCTTTATCCTGCTCACCGTCATAACGGCTATAAATAAAAGCTAAACGGGATGTTGTTGCACACATGCCTCCATTAGTAGCCTCTTCTACCTGCAGGCGGCACTCTGCACGTCTTTGTTACACTCATTATATCACATGCGTGAAATAAAACATGAACATACTCACAGCTGTAAGATGCTACTGCTTTATAGGCTTGAAAACCCCCTAAGTTCTGCACAGTTAAGAGGAAAACAAAGCAGAAACAGCTTTGTCTGATTTAGAAAATAAAATACAGACGCTGCTTTTTAAGTTCTGCTGATTAGTCAAAGTTTAAATGTTCAATTAAAACATTTCCAGTTAGTTTTAGGCAAAGAATTAAGATACAAATAGTTGCTGAAAAAAAATAAATAAAGGTATTTATATAAAAACAAGAAGTTAATTGTCCAATAAACACAATAATTATTAGTCGAATAAGTGTCCAATTAAATACAAATAAAATGAAATCAATATTGTATATTTGACTCCATATCCCTTGTACCTGATTATAAATAAGAACTAACATTTGATGCTAAATTGTGACACACATCACTTTATAAAGACACTTCACTAATTGAGATCGTCTGATCTTTGAAGCCCTTCATGTGAAATGTCAGAGTGTGTGGGTAGAGTACTTTAATAAAACAGTTTTAATCATTAGATTAATGTTCCAGTAATGTGACCTGTACCCTCTAAACATAATCAGTATGCTTAACAGTTTATTGAATCAAGAGCAGGGGTGTCAAGCTCAATTTCATCGCGGGCCAAATCAGCATTATGGTTGCACTTAAAGGGCCGGTTGTAACTATATAAATATACATATATATATATAATATAAATAAAACATTATATTACATTATTGCCTCTGCATTGGATTATTATCGGATAGGGTAATAACTTAGTAATTAACTACGTCTGAAAGCAGAAGTCCAGGGCAAATAATTGCAAGTCTCTTCAGTGCGCATGTCACAAAATGAGATGCATTGTGGGACATGTAGTTTATGGGCAACCTGCTTCTGTAAAGTGGCATGTGATGTGACCATATAATAAACTTATTATTTATTAATTATTTATTATTAATTAATTATATTATTTGCAAGCTCTTGCGGGCCACATCAAATGAAGTGTATGCCTTGAGTTTGACACCCCTGATCAACAGGGATACAGCATTGTGTATTTACAGCATTACAAATGAATTTATTATGTTAATCACACTACCAGGTGCACATTTTTATTATGCAATAAATAACGTGTTGATAGAGATTAAAACCTAAAAAGCCGACTCCTGGTTTCACATCTTGAGTATCAGCTGATGCAGTTTGGGTAGAAATGTTTGCATGTGGCGCCACCTACTGTTCACTTTTCAGCATGGCCTTATTAAACCCTTAAAGAAATGAAATGATACATCTTTATCTGTCATTTTTTGTTTAATGAGCAACTCTCTCTCAGGACTCCTGAAATATAAACAAAGATTCTTCCATCTTAACTCATCATAACATCTCTGATTACATTTGAAGGATCCCATATGTCTTAAGAAAGGCTTCTTATTTTCCAACCAGCTGTTGTTTTAACTCGTTCTTATTTTTATTTATTAAAGTGCTTGCGCAGAAAATAGTGCCAGACCTGGGTTGCAAAAGACTATTTGCATTGTCCTTTAATCTGTCTATTCCCTTGTAGATTAATTCATCTCAATGGGTTTATATAATGTCAGAAAAGAAGGGAACTGGAAATCAGTGTTTTCCCGGATTTGCCATAAACCAGGCATATCAAACCACCTCATTTTATGTTGCATGTAGATATAATAATTTGCTTACAAATAAATTTAACTTTGCGCCTATATGTACAAATATATATTTACCTCTGCCCTTCACATCTCGCAGCTGAGGAGCAATTACATATTTTTTCTCAGGAGTGTGTGAGAGCATGTCAGAAAAACTTTTAATTGAATTCCTTTATGCAAAAGGAACGTTTCTGCAATTGAAATATGAAAACAATGCAATATTTCAACGCAAGAAAATCATTAAAAATCTTTATAACAATATGAAATTGAACATTGTTTTGTAAAATACACCCACTAACCATGGTCTCCTCTCTCCCTCAGGAGTGTGTGAAACAAAACTGAGATAGAATGTCAGAAAAACGTTGAATGAATTATTTCATTCAAAAAGAAATATGAAAAACAATACAACATTTCAAATAAAGAAATAATTAAAAAGCTTCAGGCAAGGCAAGTTTATTTATATAGCACCTTTCAACACAAGGCAATTCAAAGTGAAAGACATTAAGAAACATGTTATAAAATGGCATTTCAAAAAACAAATTTGAAAGCAAAGATACATGAGTTAAAGTCGCAGTGTGAGATACACACATCTGAAATGTTTATGTCTGACTCAATCATTGATAACTTTTTAGCAGAAATAGTTTTCTATCACCTCCCTTTCTTTCTACTTTCTTATACATATTTGTATACAGGTTTTTAATATATCTTTGTTTGTGTATTCGGGATTGTGGGAAACGGAATTTCGATCTCTGTCTGTACACACAAACTGAAAGATTGACAATAAAGCTGACTTTGACTAACC